AATGGAGGATCCATCTACATATACCCTCCAAGTATCTTCAGCTTCTCCCATTTCTGGGCTAACCGGGGTGAGCTCCATTATGAAGTCGGCCAAAGCTTGTGATTTGATGGCCTTACGACTTTCATACGTTATGTCATATTCAGAGAGTTCAATTGCCCAGTTAGTCATTCTTCCTGCCAGATGCGGCTTATGCAACACCTGCCGTATGGGTTGATTAGTGCAAACTATTATCTGGTGTCCCTGAAAGTATGGCTGCAACCTCCTCGCCGTAATCAGCAAGGCAAAAGCCACTTTTTCCAGTTTCTGGTACCTTAACTCAGTACCTTGTAAGGCCCTACTGAAAAAGTAAATTGGCTCCTGACCTTTGCTGGTTTCCTTGATCAGAACAGCACTTATTGCCTCTTCCCCCATAATCAGGTACAGGATCAGGGTATCTCCTAGTTCTGGCTTAGACAGTACTGGTGGGGTTGTCAAGCATTTCTTAACCTTGTCAAATGCGGATTGACATTTCGGGTTCCAGCCTTCCACAGCTTCTTTCTTTAATAATTTGAAGAATGGGATGACATTCTTAGTTGACTTGGGTAAGAACCGGGTTAGCGCAGCCAGCCTACCAGTCAATTGCTGAACCTTCTTCTTGCTTTGAGGAGCTTTCATATCAAGTATGGCTTTGCATTTGTCAGGGTTTGGTTCAATTTCCCCATGGGTTAGCATGAAACCCAAAAATTTCCCTGTTGGAACTCCAAATGCACATTTTACCGGGTTGAGCCGAATGCGGTATTTCCTAAGCTTTTGAAATGTCTGCTCCAGATCTCGAACATGATTCGTCGTATCGAATGACTTAACGATCATATCATCAATGTACATTTCTACATTCTTGCCCAATTGATCCTCGAACACTTTGTTCATCATTCTCTGGTACGTAGCCCCAGAGTTTTTGAGCCCAAATGGCATCACATTGTAGCAGTAATTGGTCTTTTCAGCAATAAAGGCAATTTTTTCTTGATCTTCAGGATACATCGGGATCTGGTTATAACCCGAATAAGCATCCATGAAGGATAGCAATTGGAATCCATTGTGGGAGGGTATGGTTTACTGGGGGTCTTCCTTAAATTTAGGACAATCCCAGATCGACAACTCTTCTTTTAGGTACTTTCGCCTAGCACTTACAGTGACTCTTACTCCTCCCAGAACGCCACTGATCACATTACAATCGAATTCGGCTTCTAGGAATTCATCGTTATTGGAATCATCTTTCTGGTTCCTTTTCTCTTTCTTTTTCTTCTCAGGGACCAAACTCTTACTCCTCTTCCGGTTTCCAGACTTTCTTTTGTTGTTTTTGGCACCCTGAGTTTTCATCACATACTGGCGTAGTTTTCCTTCTCTAACAAATTTCTCCATAGCATCTCGAAGATCCCAGCATTGATAAGTGTTGTGACCCGGTCCATCGTGGAAGGCACAGTATTTGGACTTATCCAAACCTCCTCTATCGAATATGGGTCGAGGTCTCCGTCATTGCCGCTTCCCTCCAAATTTGAGAGCGTGAGGCATTCATCGGTGTATACTTCTCATATTTTCCAACCCGGTCTCTATCATCAAGGATCCTGGTTCTGGAGTCTTTCTTTTTATTGCTAGATCGATCCTTTTCTCTTGGGGCCGGGCTCCTCCTTCTTGGACTTGCTCTTTTACCCTCCTCTGATAGCTCATTTGCTATCTCCATTTGTTCGAGTTCCAAGATTTTCTTGGAACGAGTTCTAAACTCCTCCATCCAAACCAGCCACAATGAGATGTACGTGGAAATTTTCTTGAAGACTTGGCACCTGCAAGGCAGCATCCTTAAATCGGTTAAGATACCTATGAAAGGTTTCTCCGAGTTGTTGTCGTATTTTGCCAAGTGCGAACTCGGACTTCGGATGCTTTTTGCTAGTTGCAAAATTCAGAAGAAACTTCTCTCCAAATTCCTTAAAAGATCCAATAGAATTGGCAGGGAGGGTTGAAAACCATGCTTGTGCTGCCCCAGTCAGAGTTATTGCAAATATCCGAGATATGAGGGTTCATCAATTCCTCGAATATACATGTCCGTATCAAATGCATCTATGTGGACCTGTGGGTACTGACTTCCATCGTATTTCGGCAAGCGTGCCGAATCAAAATCCTCCGGGAAAGGAGCATTCAATATTTCACCAGTAAATGGGCTGTTATTATACTGCCCCTACTGTATTTCCTCCTGTACCCACCGGGTTCGACGAGTCCTCTGGTGGCTTAAGTATTTTGGTTGGGGTGTACCTCATCTGAGTTTCTGTGCCCAATTAGTCATGCCGAAGCATTCTGGGTCAAAGTTTGCGCATTAGCATTCTGTTCCCCCATTCTAATGTTCTCTGTGTTTGGGCCCAACGTACTCCCAAGATTGGGCCTTACATTGTTTCTCGGGATTGTAGCCAATGTGACCCCAGGATTGGCCATTCCTTGGTTCTCTACCTCAGTAACCCGATTTTGATGATCTGGGTTATGGTTTCCTTCTTGGCCATTAGTATCTCTGCCTTGGGCCTCTCTCACTCCAGACCCTGCCATCCCCATCAAGCGCTGCTCCAACTCTTGCATCATCCGGGTATTTTTTTCCTGCATTCTCTAGAAATCTTGCCGCTGGAGGTTGTTACGATTCTCCATCTCCTCCATTTGCCGCAAAACTGCAGCAACTGCATTTTGAGCAAGTCTGGAATCTGGATCCCCAGGTTGGGCAACGCGAGTAGCAGCAGTATCCCCAAGATGTTGGGGAGGATTATCCAGCGCTGGAGCCGCAACTCGATCATGGGGTTCTGGGGTGGAGGTTGTGCCTGACACATCCTCACTGACATAAACATGATCATAATTCATTTCATTCTCCGGCTGGTTTTAAGGTTGATTCACCTCTTCCAAGACTGGATCCAGCAGCTGATTTTGAGGGTGTGGCTAACGGAGGGAAATCAAATTCAAAGAGAATTCCCCACAAACGGCGCCAATGTTTTGTCTAGGTGACAGAGATGTCCAGCCCAATGTACTGGTATATTGATCTTGGATCTAGAGTGCCCTCTCTAAGGTATCTATGAAGGAGATACCCTTGAGTCAAGCATATCACTGTGCACAAAGAACTAATAACGACTTTTGCCAATGGGGTGTGTGTGCGCACAGTGACAGCATAACAGTAAGAGAGAGAGAGAGAGAGAGCGTAACATACCTTTAGGGTTGGTTTACCTTGTATTTATAGAGGTTACCTGTGGATAAAATGAAGTGGGCCTTTAGTGCCTCTGATGAGAGCCTAGGCCTCTGCTATGCTGTCGCATTAGGATTAGTATCCTTGATGGATACTATCCATAATTATCCTTGATTTGAATCTTGGATTGCCCCTTATTGGGCTTGTCATTCTATGGGCCCTTTATATGGGTCCATAACAGGCGCCATCCATAATCCATGTGAAAGGTCATCCATAATATTTTACAACACCCCTTTGGATGTATTCTACAATTCAACACACCATTAGTGTGATGATTATAGAATGAGCAAATGCCATTTTTGGTCCTCAGCAAATTTCACGATACCCGCTTTAGTCTCTAGCAAATAAAAATGCTACTCGTGGTCCCTAAGAAATTCAAAGTGGACCCATATTAGTCCCTCTTTTGAATTTGTGAGGGACCACGATTTCAACTAAACGGGTCCATTTTGAATTTCTTAGGGACCACGAATAGTCTTTTTATTTGCTAGAGCTAAAGCAGGCATCGTGAAAATTTTTGAGGACCAAAAAGGGTATTTACTCTTATAGAATATATCAAATAAGGGTGTTCGCGGTCTAAATTGGATCGGTTTTGGAAGCAAAAATCATTTGATCCAATTCCTTCGGTTTGACCAGTAATCATCCATTCGATTTGGACTTTTTTTCAAATTCGATCTAATCCAATCCAATTTTTTTCGGTTTGAATTGGATTGGTTTTCGATTTTTTTAAAATCCTAAACAAAATTTCATGCCGATTTTTTGTATATATATTGGCTTTGTAAAAAAAATTGAAATACAAAAGCATCAGTAAACGATAATATAGTTTTTATTTGGGAGGGGGGCAATGAGACATGAAGCTCTACGCAGATGAAATTTTGTTGATGAGAAGTGACTAATTTTTTTTTTTGGGTTTAGTTGATGGATTAATGGATCTAGGGTTTAGAAATTTTTGGATTATGATTGGAAAAAGTCCAAGTAGAGAAAAATTAATACATTGGATCGGTTTGGATTGGATCGATTTTCCTTAAACAATCCGCAAACCGATCCAATCCAATTAAAAGTTGCGATTTTTTTTCGGTTTTTTCAGTTATCGATTTTTCAGTTCGGTCACCTCGGTTTGAATTGGTTTGGATCGATTGATAAACACCCCTAATATCAAGGGTCATGAAAAATAAAGAATCACGTGTTACGAATCATGTGAAAATTCATCCATAATATTTTACAATAAAAATAAATTTTTCAATAGTGATATATTTTAACACAGATTTTCATCTGCACATCAACAATTTTTTTTTATTGACATCTAAGTATGTTATACATACAAATTTGTATTGAAACATATTGTATACAATTCATTTTAGTAATTTTTTGAATAATAATAACTAAATTTTTTTTTGTAACGATAGTAGTTAAAGAAAATCAACGATTTTACTTTTAAATGTATAGTATAGCAAGAGCAGTTATTCAATACTGGTATTAAGATGAGAAAATCTTTATTTGATGTATTCTATTCTGACTCCCGATGAGAAAATCTTTATTTGATGACATCATTTATTAATGAATTTAGTAAAAGTAATAACTAAATTTTCACTTATATTGAATTTTCACTTGTATATTTATGTACAAATCTTATATAATAAAAAATTTATAATTTGTATAAACTATGTTAAGAAAGTGTTAATAATTTATTTATTAAAATATTTTTAATGTGTTGAATATGATAAAAAAATTATGCAATTATAATTTTGGATGACACGCAGGCTGACCCTAACCAATAGAGCTTTTGCCCTATGCGGGCAATGATTATTAATGTTGGCCCTGAGCTTTTTGGCCCTAACCCACACAGATTAAGGCCAAATAAGACGGACTGGCCCATTTTAACAGCTCTAGTTACTTGTTCTTCTAGTAACTTGAGACCATACATCATCCCGCCATAATTCACAAAAACACTATGAACTCAAGTATGGCTTGGTATCTGGAACGATGACATAATGAAAAATGAGCTTTTTGGCCCTAACCCACACAGATTAGGGCCAAATAAGACGGACTGACCCATTTTAACAGCTCTAGTTACATGTTCTTCTAGTAACTTACTTCAGACCATACATCATCCCGCCATAATTCACAAAAACACTATGAACTCAAGTATGGCTTGGTACCTCGGACGATGACATAATGAAAAATACATGTAATTAGAATTTTATCAATAAATTTAATAGTCTCAACGAGCTGTAATGAGTACAGAAAGAATATAGCCTTTTACACGCCGATCCTCAACGTGTGTAAGAATTTGAACCACACAAAATCATTATTTGAACAGTACTTCTGTACATCATAAGAACGTTAACATTAGTAAGCACTAATAATTCAAATACATCATCTAACTTTAACATTTGGATCGTCATTCCTATCTCAAAATACCTTGTTTCACGCTGTGAAATCTTTCCCGAGTATAAGGCAAGAACTCAAAACCGAAACAAGGATGTCTCTCCCTGCCACTTTGGATCACATTATTGTTGGCAATCTCCTAAACCTCGGACCAAGTGCACTTCTTATCTAATATCCTGGATTAACAGAATCATATAGCCAACAAACAATTATCTCAATATGGATTCTGTTAATGATAAGAAACTTACATTTCAATGTACGATTCTGATTTTAAATCTTAAAACTTAGGTTCATACATTTAAATTCTAATTCTGTTTGTGTTTTAAGTTAAAATAGAATACTGGTATCTTCTAGGCTTAATAGACACTTACAAATCAGTTGTATATACACAAACAAAAAGACAAATCCCAAAATAGCTTAACCCTAGGTACAAACAAGAACACATGTACACCCCACACGAAAATACGACTTCGCTACAGGATCCCTTCACCAATGATCTTATTTCCTTCCGTCATAAATTCTAAATGCATCTAGTTGTGCACTCAATATTTACCCACTTTCAAACAAAATCTCCATTATACAATAGCATTTACATTCACATGTACAATCCCCCTCACTAAAAATTCAAAACATTCAAATCTCAAAATTTAGCAAAGTATCAACTAACACAAAATGGTTTTTAAGTTCCTCAAATTTACATGATGTTATCTCAAATTGTTTTTTTTTTTCTTTTTTGTTTGTGTGTGGCTAATTTATAAAGAGTTAAGACCAACTATAGTATAAAAAAAAGAGCAATACTAAATTAAAAAACGTAATGTCATCATATAATTGTATTGTAAAATGACACTAGCCACCTCTCTGCTAAGACCAAGATTCTTATGGCAAAGACGAACAGTTAATGGATTTAACAACAAAAATTGTTCGTAGAAAATTAGCGTAAGATGACCTGTATATTCTACAAGCACAAACATTCAATCGAACTCTCCTGCTGACAATAAATGTTAATTGCTTTTATATAGATTCATTATGCCACAAACCCTCCTCCTTTATCCTGGCTTGGGACAGGCTATGTAGTCATACAAATAAATTATCAATACTCCTACGAAACATACTACACCTACTTAAATTAGAAAGAGAGTGAATTCTCGCATATTCCTAATTCAAGGGGATGTAATATGATATCAAAGGATCACTGAAATCTATAGAAGATCATACATAGGCGGAGTTAAAAAAATTAAGAATAAAAAATCTAATACACAATACAGGAACACATAGGACTATTTGCAAAAGAGTGGTAACGAGTGGTAAACATTTTTAAGTCATCTGTAAGATACACAATACAGGATACAAAACCCAAACATCGAATACTACATGAAACAAACAACTAGATTTTTAACCCCAACAACGTGCTTATGTGAAGGCTTTCTTTAAAAAAAACTTATATTTCACACCTATAAAGGAGAACAGAGCCAGACTAATCCTTCAAGCCCACAAAAAAATAAAAATAAACCAATCTGAAACACAAATCATAGCTTAAAAAAACATCCAAAACATCAGGTACAATTGATCAAACATCCACAATAGAATACTACATCGTCAAGTAACCATCAATTACCAAAAATAAAAAAAGTAAACTCAATATAAAGTACAAACATAAGAATTACAAATAAGAAACATCCTCAGAGAAGGCTTGCATCCAAGATAAGACACATTTACCAAAATAAGCACAGTAGCCAAGATTACCGCAATTGTAACAATTACCCTCGAACTTTATACCTTTGCCTTGTGCATTTCCCTCTTGGAATATTTTTGCTTCTTCGACCTTGATCCCTCTTCAATAACATTGGCCCTAGAGACTACAAGATCATTGCCAAATTTATATTCAGAAATTTTGTTGTCTACTTCTATCCTCAAAAATTACAAACAAGAACACATGTAAGACTTCGCTACATGATCTGTTCACCATTCCCTTCCTTTATAAATTCCAAATGCATCTAGTTGTGCACTCAATATTTACCGACTATCAAAAATCTCCAATATACAATAACATTTACATTCACATGTACAAACCTTCTCACTCAAAATTCAACATATTCAAATCCCAAAACTCAGCAAATGATTATCAACTAACAAAAGATTTTTTAAGTTGCTCAAATTTACCTATGTTATCTCAAAGTGATTTTTTTTTTTTTGGCTAATTTAAAAAGAATGAATGCTAAGCCCAACTATTGTTAAAAAAAAGCAATAACAAATTAAAAAACGTAATGTCATATAATTGTATTGTAAAATGATCCTTGCTACCCCCTGCTTTAGACTAAGATTCTGATGACAAAAATAAACGGTTCATGGATTTAACATCAAAAATTGTTCGCAGAAAATTAGATAAGGTGACCTGTACATTCTACAAGTACAAACATTAAATCGAACTCCACTGCTGACAACAAATGTTAATTGCTTTTATAAGACTCATTATGCCACAACCCTCCTCTTTTAAACTGGCTTGGGACAGGCTATGTAATCATACAAATAAATTTTCAATACATACCACACCTACTTAGAGTGAATTCTCGTGGCTCCATGTATGTCTAATACAATTGGATGTAATATAATCAAAGGATCACTGAAATTTATAGGACTTAAAAAAATTAAGAATAAAAAACAGTATACACAATACATGTGACGGATTTTCTTTTAAAAAACTTATATTTCACACTTATAAAGGAAAACAGAGCTATAGTAATCCTTCAAAACTCCATATCATATGCCCACAATAAAAAATAAACCAATCTGAAACACAAATCATATCTTAAGAAAACATCCAAAACATCAGGTACAATTGTTCAAAACATCCACAATAGAACATTACATCGTCAAGTAACCATAAAAAATAAAAATAAAAGTAACCTCAATATAAATAACAAACGTAAGAATTTCAAATAATAAACATCCTCAAAGAACGCTGGCATCCAAGACAAGACACATTTACCAAAATAAGCAGATGGTCAAATTATCACGCTTCACTTGATAAAAATTTCGGATTAAAAACCTGCACAGAGATTAGCATAAATTCTTATATGAACAGTAGAATCACCAGAAGCAACTTCTATCTAAAGTTCTTAACACACTCAAGTGTACCTTACCCCATAAAATGCCAATCAATGTAGCTGATCTCCTGGAAATATTACAGTCCATTTACCTCTTATTGCTCTATGTAATAGATACTGCTTCAACACATACCAAACTGGCAAGACATATAACATTTTCCCTAAAGAAATGAAAATAACAAAGTAGCTTGAAAGTACGGAAAATCATCGAAAATTGCACACTAAAGCTACGTCTTCAACACCTCTTAACATATTGTACAGTGAAGAGAACAATACGCATTACTGAACAGAAATCAACAGGCTTTGCAGATGACAAACCATTTGAACAGCACTAGTTAGTAAGTGCACCAAACAATTATAATAGACATTAGAATAAATCTGCTAGCAAAAAAATCCAGCGTTGACTTTACAAACTGAATCATAACAACTTACTTCAAAACCTGAAACAACCCCACCTCACAATAACCTCCTTAAAATATTTAACACTTTGTGAAGTCCCAACTCCTCTTGAAACCGTCATACTGGGAAAAAAATATATATAACGAACAGAAACAAACAGACTGATACCACTTTGGAACCCTCAAATTAGTAAGCACACCTTCTCATGCACAAAATGTAACAGACATCCAGCTCTGATTGTATGAACCAAACCACAGCACCGAACTTCAAAACCTGAAACAATAACCCATTCTCCCAGAGAAAAAGCCACAAAAAGATTAATTTCATTGTGACCATAGAAGCAAATGATTAACTTCACTTGAAAGCAACCAACAAGTTGCGAGACGAAATCACCCAAGAGCTTAAGGAAGCAAAAAAACCTTACTACACCCCATCCACTACCAAAAACAACCATTAACACAATGAGCAACCCTAACAGAATGAATAGAGGCCACATATGACATGAAAAGAGGAACGTGACAGTAGCAGAATTAACAACAAACACCACATCAAAGCCCAACCAGCACACAAGCCATCAGAACAAACCACAAAGGACCACAATCAGCTCCACCATTGAGACGTTCAGAAATCACAAGGCAGGGAACTACACCTTAAAAGTTACATTGCTATTTTCTTGCTACAGAAACCCAATATTGCTAGTGTCTTGACTTCACTGAAAAAAATCTCAATATTGCTTGCGCCTGAGCAAAAACATCTTTTGTGTAGATGAATAACATATAACCCATTATCATGAAGAACAGCCCCATTCCATCCTCTCTACACACTTTTGTTACAATAAAATTTCAGTCCAACTTCCACACTCTATCTTAACTTCGCTGAATACATGACCCAATATAGCCTGCGGTGCTCTGAGCACCTACTACTCTGCAACACATATTTTATCTCCAAAACCATGCATCTACCAGTTTTTAGGAATAACCATAAAAATCTCAATCACAACTTTGATATGCATCAATAGATGAGCATTTACGTATGATGGATGACTTTCAATTTCAAGTAACACCACAATTAAGAGCAATCATCACTACCTTACTTGCAACTTCAAATAAGTTAGCTCTACTTTCTCAGGTGGGGAATGCCGTTCGTCTTCAATCTCTTTTCTGCTGTTCCTAGAAAGCATTACATTTCACCTTAAAGACAAACTCTAATTTAAAAACTACAACAGCACACAACTCAAACACCAACACAAAGTTCACCACCCAGGATCACACGAGTAAAAAAAAAAAGAACTATCAAAAAACATTTTATAAGGGATAGTAGGTAACATAAGAAGTTTTCATATGTTTTTATAATAAAAGGTAGGCATGTTTTTAAACTTTTGATTATGAAAAAATAGTCTTATTACAAAAAAATAAAAAAATACATCTAATAATTTAATGCAAAAACAATTTGTTCATAGGAAAAAATAGGCAGGTATCTTTAAAAAAACATTTAGGGAATCATGCAATGAGAGTTTGAATCTTCACCTTTTTTCAAGTAGGAAATTTTTCAAAATTTCAAAGACAATGGAATTTTATTGTAAAAGGAAATAATGGCATCATACCAAAATTATCTGACTAACTTCATGCGCAAATCAGCCACCAAATCAAAACAGCTCTACTGCTCTAATCCTGAACACAAAAAACCCGTGCTAGAAGACAACAATTGAGATACACATACCACTAATATCACATTAAATAGTTAGAAACACTAAGCTGTACAAAACCAAGTTCGCAATTCAATTAATATTCATGGCTATCATCAATTCCAGAAAACAAAAAGAAAACAAAACAAACTCATGTAAAAGTAAAATCAAATAATGCAGAGCTCCTTGCCGATTTCATCTGATAAAAACCTCTGCACATATAATAGAAGAACATTCTTAAAACCCATTCTTCAATTTGGCTATTCCTAAGAGCATAAATACATTTCCAGACCACAAGGTACTGCAAACTAATAAATGCAAGAAGTTCAACACCTAGATCAACAGAAAATTCGTTAAAATCCTTTCATCAATTTGTGCACTTAAGAATTGGAATTAACAAAATACTTAGTTTTAAAAGGATATAGAGGACCATAAAAATAAACCATAATCACGGTAAGAAATTATTAAAAAAATTATATATAAAAGAACAGTTTGATGATATAAAATAATATCTTAAAAGTTTCATTAAAAAACAATACTGACTATAATATGATACAACCATGCGAAGATGCTGATTCATCCCTGTTTAGACCAAATTTCCATCTACCTGCAGATTCAGGTGCTCAATATAAAATCGAAACAAACAATTTAAGCTTATTACCACCATTCCAAAGGGACATTATGTGATGCTGTGAAGAAGAGGATATCTCCAATTAGAAGAGGAAATGCTTGAAAAACATAAGAAATTTTCAAGAAAACAGCAAAAAAAGAGGAGCAGAATTCTCCAAACCATGACACAATCGCAGATCATCTGAGCTAAGGGCCTAACCAAACTATCCCAAATTCCTCCCGATAAGGAAGCAAATGAAACGTGTAAACTCCAGCGCTTTAAAAATCATAGTCCTGATATAGAAACATACAAGAATTCCGACACCACCAAGCGTTCACTATCAAAATAACGGAATCCAGAACCCAGCAAGAAGACAGCCAATCAAGAACGAACCCATTCAAATAAAAAAAGAAACTGATATTAATGGTAATAAAACCTAAAGCCGAACAGAAAGCACGTCAATACTATCAGCCACTGCTTCGAAAGCCTACAACACATTGATTGATTAGCTTCCCCATAACAACCAAGCAGAATAGAGAAGTAACTTGAGAAAAGTAAACAATCAGAAAGGATAACGAAAGATAGAAACGGAAAGACAAATCAAAGAATTAAGAATCCAGGTAGATCCCAACTTATTGAAGGACAACTAAATAATCCTGAGCTGTTAGCAGTTCTGATTCGCTGTATCAAGAAATAATCCCGAGCTGTTAGCAGTTCTGATTCGCTGTATCAAGAAATAATCCCGAGCTGTTAGCAGTTCTGATTCGCTGTATCAAGAAATAATCCTGAGCTGTTAGGAGTGCTGATTCGCTATATCAAGAAATAAAAAAGTAATCTACTTAATTGTCTTTATTCTACTCATTTCTTTATAATTAATATCACTTAAATTTGCTTACCAAAAAAAAATATCACTTAAATTTCACTTATTTTTCATTTTAATAAAGAAGTATGTATTATAGGAATAGGGGACCCCTACTTATATATACGAGAGAAATTACTCTCATGCTACATGTGATAAGTTTCTCTCCTACACACCCTTCGATAACTGTGTGCTGTTAATCCTGAGCTGTTAGGAGTTCTGATTCGCTGTATCAAGAAATAATCCTGAGCTGTTAGCAGTTTTGATTCGTTGTATGAGGTAAGGAAGAAATTTCTTCATTGTCCAATCTTTTAATTGGCAACGCCTAAGAACACAAAACTCATATCCGGACTCCAACGTGCTGCATAGTATGAATACAAGAAGTTCACAACCTAGAACACCATAAGACCAAATGAAGAATGATATTAAAATAATTGACAAAACAAGAGGAGTTCGAGAACTATCAATTTCTTGAGATCTTCAATCCGACAAAAGGAAAACCGGTTCACAAATTAATCCGTATGTCTCATTCAAAGCCAGAAAATAAAGAGAGAGAATAACTAATCGAAGATACTAAATTAGTAATCCTGAGTTGTTGGCGTTCTGGTCTGCTGTATCAAGAATGGTAGAAATTTCTTCATGATCAAATCTTTAATTGGCAACGCCTTCGAACAGAAAACTTACATACTCCAATGACAAAAAGAGAGACCGAAACTGTCAGTTCTTGAGATCTTCAATCCAGCTAAAGCGTATTACTAGCTAAGAACAAGAGCAAAGAGCTAAGGGCCTAACCAAATCCAGCTAAAGCGTATTACTAGCTAAGAACAAGAGCAAAGAGCTAAGGGCCTAACCAAACTGTCCCAAGAAGGCAAAGAAATATACAGCTTTTCGGAAAATGTGTAAAGAGAGACCAAAACTGTCAGTTCTTGAGATCTTCAATCCAGCTAAAGCGTATTACTAGCTAAGAACAAGAACAAAGAGCTAAGGGCCTAACCAAACTGTCCCAAGAAGGCAAAGAAATATACAGCTTTTCGGACCAAACTTAATGCCTATATAGCAACCTTAAGAAATATATGACACATCCGTTTGGACCAAACTTCCATATATCTGCATATTCAGGTGTTCAATATAGAAACAAAACATACAATTTATGCTTAATCCAAGTCCAAAGGAACGTCATGTGCTGCTATAACGAACAGGAAATCCAATCCAATTAGACGAGGAAACACTTTAAAGTCATATAAGAAATTATAAAAAAAACCAAAAGTAAGAGTAGCAGAATACTCCAAGCCAAGACGCAGGATGAACAGAACAAAGATAACAAAGGGGTCAGAGCGAACTCTCCGGAAATGTTCGTGCAAACTCCTGCGCCTTAATACTCCATATACCCCGTTCCTGATACAGAAAACACAAGAATTCCGACACTGACAAAGAATGAACACATTCAAAAAAAAAAAAAAAAAACGAAAAATAAGAAGAAAAGGATTGCATTAAGGGTGGTAAAACCTAAAGCCAAAAAAGTATGTCAATACTCTCCCCCACTGCTTCCACGGGAGACGCACAAAAAACCTAAAACCAATTAATTGATTATCTTTAGCGGAAATCACAGAAAAGTAAATCCACACAACTAGACGCACAGAATAGATAAAGAGAGAAACGAAAAGACAAATCTGAGAATCCAGAATCCAGAATCCAGAATCACCAAATTATGCTTCAGACTCGACGGAAGCAATACGCTGCAGAAGAACATATTCACAATTTAATGCCTCGAGATTGAATCCATAATAAAAGTAATACAGAACAACTCATCAAGGAAATTAAATTAATGATCCTGAGCTAGATAGAAGTATCAAGAATGGCAGAAATTTCTTCATGATTCAATGTTCAATTGGCAACTCGAAAGAGCAGAAAACTCAAATCCGCACTCCACCGTGCTGCAAACGAATAAACGCAAGAAGTTCAAAACATGGGAATCCGTGATCAAATGGAGCATAATATTCATATAATTGACATTAACAAAGAGTCCGAGAACTATCAATTTCTTGAGATCTTCAATCCGGTAAAAGGATATTCAATCGGCGAATATTTCCTATTCAAGATTATCTTCCCTGTAACACCCAAGCAGAAATCATGAGAAGTAAATCCAGAAAATCAGACGCTCAGAACCGACAAAGAAAGATAGAAACGAAAAGAAAAATCCAAGAATTCAGAATCCAGATAGAGATCACCAAATTATGCACGAGAGCCGAAGCATTGAAGCACTATGCTGCAGAAAAACAGGTTCACAATTTAATCCGTATGCCTCGCGATCAATGCCATAGAAAAAAAATGCAGAACAACTAATCGAAGAAAAGAAATTAGTAATCCTGAGCTGTTAGCGGTTCAAAAACGGCTGTATCTAGAATGCCAAAAATTTCTTCAAGATCCGATCTTTGATTGGCAAAGCCGGAAAAAACTCTAATCCATACTCCATCGTGCTGCAGTTCAAAACCTAGAACTCCATGATCAAATTAAGCATAATACTCAAATAATTGACAAAGAGAGTCCGAGAATTATCAGTTTTTTGAGATCTTGAAACCGGCAAAATCATATGAATCGGAAAAACCCTAGACATCCTCAATTATGGAAGCAAAGCAAACCAAAGCACGATTACGGCATCAGATCGTAAAAATAAAAACAAAGTTTTAGATCATAAGAACGAGATCATCAACCATATATAATCGAAAAAAGATGAATCAGCAAAAGCATGAGAACTACTACAAGAGGAGATCGAAAATCGAAAATCGAAAATATACGCAACGCTAACCTGCTTTAGAACGAGGAAGACGGTTAGGCCAGAGGAGGTTTATATAGAGAGGAGGATCAGATTAGTCGGCTGAGATAAGGCGGTGGGTGGAAATATCAACGGTTATGATGCAATCAAAATAAAAGCAGTTGACGCGGTTTTGATTAAGTCCGTGGAACGTTGAATAAGATTTCGTTGGACGCCTTTGTCGGATTACGTAATCGCCAAGATAAGATAACTGTTACCCAAAATTTAAAAAAAAACGTGAAAATATTTTCCACAAAAAAAACGTGAAAAAAAAATTAATTTAAATATATCCAACTAACCTAACAAATTCGAGTTTGTATTTCTAAATTATTATTTTTTTAAAATTTTTATATCAAATTAAATTAGTATTTGACTAATACAAATTTTAAATTCAAAATAAGATATTATCAAATCTTTAACCTATTCAAATTCAAATTCAAATTCAAAACTTCACCTTACGATAAGATTTGATCTCATCAAATCCTTAATAAATTCAAATTTATATTTTAATTTAAAAAATAAGATTTGATATCATCAAATAATATTAGGATAGTGCTCCTTAAGCCTATCAGAGCACATAACTAGAGTATCTGTACTCTTGGTGGTACATAAAATGTGTCTCATGGAAGGTGAAGTATGTTAATATAGAGGGTGCTTATAGTAGTAATGGTAGAGACCAAAGCACTAGTGAAGCTTCCCATGGTGCATAAGGGGGTGTGTGTATGACAAGGATGGCTCTGCAAAGGAGCATAGTAACAACATAGGTAGAGAGTAGAGAAGATGATCCCCTTTCCATGCGTGAGAGGAGTATTTACAGAGGAGAGCCCTCTTCAGCATGGGAGAGACCGTTGGTTAGCCCCATGAGCTATCTCATCAAGCCATGTCTTGTCCTGAGACAAGACATGCTGCCCACTGTCAGTGTACAGGGGCAGCAGTGCATGGATAGGGAGATGTCCCAATAGTGAGTCTCTATGGCTTGCCATGGGTGCCTTCTAAAAGGTTCTAGACTATGGACTTAGTGACATGGGTCCCAATCATGCTAGGCCTAAGTGGGTATCCAATACAGAAGCCCCCAGCTTAGTAGCTTGAAGGAGTCAAGGTGCCAAGATGTATGGCAGCTTAGGTCGATTACCCGTAGTGTGCAGTGTTCCAAGCAAGATACAATGTAATCGATCGGTAACACGTCGACCTTCATGTCTTGTTTGTTTGTTTTCATCAAGTATGAATTGTCTGGTTGGCGGTGCTTGAGTGTTTCAAGATAATTTTCTATTTCGGGACTCGATTGTGTTGAACTTTTGTTGTCTTCAAAAATGTGTGTTACTATTGAGGAACGTCTTCAAATGTTGTTGAAGTATATATAATTAATAGTAAGAGTAAGCTGGCGAGCCCATGTTGAATCAAGTAGCCTGGAGATGATAGTGTGTTCCAAGAGAGAGATGATGGAGATCCTGATGATAAATATATACGCTCTCTTCTTCAGGAACAAAACTCGGCGATATGAACGTATGATAAATAATGCCCAGTGACTTGGGTCTTTGATGACTAGTTGCTCAGATGTTTTGCTCTATGATCATGACTTTATGATAATGATGAAATAATGCTGATAGAATTGCAGATGAAAGCTTTTGGAGAAAATAATGTTGTAGATGAAAGCTTCTAAAGAAAGGATAATGTGTTCCAAAATAGAGAGATGGAGAGTCTTCAAAGATGATAAATATATATATTCCCTTCTTCAATAATAAAACTCGTTGACAATATGAGTGTATGATAAATAATGCCCAGTGAGTTGGGTCTTTGATGTCCGGTTGCTCCAATTTAAAACCTGCAACAACTAATACAATACTGCATAAATGACGATAAAAATGTGCCTAGATGGGACATTGGCCAGACGCCGGCCATCTAAGACTTTTGCCGAGGGGTAGCACATCTAAAACTTTGTTTATCGGGGGTGTGAACCGTCACAGCCTTCATAATTAATTACCGGGGGTGAGAACCGTCCCAGCCTTCATAATTAATTATCGGAGATGAGAACCATCCCAGCCTTCATAATTAATTATCGGAGGGGTGAGAACCGTCCCGGCCTTCATAATTAATTATCGGGAGTGAGAACCATCCCGGCCTTCATAATTAATTACCGAGGGTGAGAATCGTCCCGACCTTCATAATTAAATCGTCCCGGCCTTCATAATTAATTACCGAGGGTGAGAACCATCTCGGCCTTCGTAATTAATTACCAGGGGGTGAACCGTCTCGGCCTTCATAATTAATTATCGAAGGGATGAGAACCGTCCCGGCCTTCATAATTAATTATTGGGGGGTGAGAACTGTCTCGGCCTTCATAATAATTACCGGGGGTGAGAACTGTCTCGGCCTTCATAATAATTACCGGGGGTGAGAACCGTCCCGACCTTCATAATTAATTACCGGGGGTGAGAACCGTCTCAACCTTCATAATTAATTATAGGGATTACAGCAAATTCGCAAATAGACTTTGTGTCCGTTAATTATTAGACAGCTCATATGAAGTTTATAATCAAATGAGAGGATATAGAATAAACAAAAAGAATCATATATGAGGTGGGATGTTATTATCGTATGTTGAAAATAAAACCTGATAGTGTGAGTCTCGCTGGACACTTTGGCATGTAGATGTTCCTTTGATAACTTTTAGTATGTTGATGAATGTTGGTCTTCCTGTTGGGAGGGCGGAAGGGCTGGTCTTCCTGTTGTGAGGGTGGAAGAGCTGGTCTTCCTGTTGGGAAAGCGGAAAGGCATGTCTTGCAGGTCTTCCTGTTGGGAGGGCAAAAGGGCTGGCCTTCCTGTTGGTAGGGTGGAAGGTCTGGTCTTCTTGTTGGGTGGCTTCCTGTTGGGCACGCGGAAGGGTTGGTCTTCATGTTGGAGGGCGGAAGGGCTGACTTTCAGTTGGCGACTTCATGTTGGGCGGGCGGAAGAGCTGATCTTCATGTTTGGAGGGCGGAAGGGATGGCTTTCTGTTGGGCGACTTCATTATCTTAAACCATTTGAGACAATGCCAATTCGAAATTTAAAAGATAAAATATGATCTTATTTCAAATTTAATTTCAAATTTCAAAGATAAGATTTAAATTACGGTAAGTTTTGATCTCATCAAACATTTGACTAATACAAATTTTAAATTCAAAATAAGATATTATCAAATCTTTAACCTATTCAAATTCAAATTTAAAACTTTAAATTACGATAAGATTTGATCTCATCAAATCCTTAATAAATTCAAATTTATATTTTAATTTAAAAATAAGATTTGATATCATCAAATAATATTAGGATAGTGCTCCCTAAGCCTATCAGAGCACATAACTAGAGTACCCTAGCCTTAGTTATTTTGCGCCTACATAGACCAGAGCCCATATATCAAAACACATGTTTTCATCTTTTTTGTTTGATCTTATCATATAAAATCCACATTATCTTATATAAGTCAAAGATCATGTGCTAGTCAATACCATTAAACACGATATAGGTATGTGACTGTTCTGGGCATCATCTCGGAAGGCACATAGCAAACCAACCCACTTTCGAGCTAGACTTCCCATTTGAGGACGTCCAACTCGGCTAAGGCATCAGCCCGCCATCTCGTCACCACTTGCGAGTTAATTGCTCTTGGGCCATTTTCCTTTACCATAACTGTCCCAATGAGCCATATATATGCATAAACAGTTCTCCACATGGGATCATCTTAACCACATTGCATTATAATGCGCTTTTAAGCCCTAAAAAACTCTCACCATCTTTAGGAATACACACACCCCTTATAGTGTTTCCATTGGACCTTGGCTAGAAGTACTGGACTTCCTATTACTAGTTATCTCTACCTTAGCTCTATAGATATAATTACTAGCTATCCAGTTAGACATTTGTGTTCACCTCCAAACATTTGGCGTTGTTTTGAGTGAACACCAACTAAGGTAATAGGTAAGTGTTTAGGTCAAGGTTTTGCTGAACGATATCTAGAATGGGTGCTTAATATTTCCAGTTCTTGGTAATGTGTCCCCATTATCATACTGCGTGTGTATTTATAACAGCCATTATAAGCAGTTATGAAGGAAGGTAGTGGATGGAGAACGATTATTCAGCAATGTTCATGGCAGTTACAAGTAATTGTATATGAGGATAGTGATCGTGGGATTAGACCTATGATCTGGTCACAAGGTTGGGCTCCACGCTGGCTACGAGTGAGTTCACCCATGAGCCCATACTCGAATTAGGACCAACTACAAGCCCAAGAAGGATAACGGGTTGAACTCGGAACATTAAACCCCTTAGCTCGGTGTAATGAGTAAAGATACTTCGAGATGATTGTATCTGATGTGATCATTATTCTCAAAATCTACCTTGTCACATATCATTTCACATTTATTATTGACTGCGCATTCAAGTCATGCGCCGTGTCTTCATAAGTTGGAATCTTTTCCCCAATTCTCCTTGTGATTCCTACTGGCACGCGGTTGTTAGAATTCTTTGTACATCAAAGGAGCACCAAGAAAATACTTTTTATATAAAGATAAGGGGCATGTTGAGGTTTGTAGCTACTCAGATGCTGGATTAGGCAGATTCTCCTTCAGATAGACAATCTACTTAGGGTTATCGTGTCTAATTTAAGGGAAATATGATTTCTTGGAAGAGTAAGAAGCAAAACGTGATAGCTAGGTCAAATGCAGAGGCTGAGTATCGAGCAATGCGGCTACAATCTATGAACTTATTTGTTTAAAGCAATTGATTAGAGAACTAAGTTTCGGCGAATAATGTCCATGAAACTATTTTGTGAAAATCAGGTAGTGTTACACATATGACATATCTTCTAACCCATATTTCGTGAGAGGACCATACATATTGAAATTGATTGCCACTTCATCTGAGAAAAGATTCAGTTTGGAAAGATCGAGATAACATTTATCAATTCCAATTACGAACTTGTAGATATTTTTACCAAGGCTCTTAGAG